ATATTAATGAATAATTATTTCAGGTACATATAGTTCAAAAATCGTATAAATTATTTATTAGCCCCAACATAAGTCGAACTATACAAAACTTAAAATAATAGTCGAAGAATAAAAATATTTGTCCTAATAAACATAATATACATATTAATATTAAGTCGAACATTCATTGCATTATCACTGATTCTATCTGCCGTAATCACAATTTTATTTAAAAAAAGAACGAGTTTTTGTTTTAAGCAAGATCTGCGCGTCTTTCATTCTTAATTAAATTTGTTTATATATAATAAATTATAAATATATCTGATACAACTTTACTTTAGTTCGTGCTCCTACGTAGTAATCAAATTCAAAATGCTACAGGCATTTAAGCCTTACTTCACGTTTAATAAGATTCATTATGCTGCTTCTTATCGACGTCATATTGCTCAATATAAATATCGTGTAAATCCTTAAAAGCCAATTGACGGGTTCTACACTAGCACCTAAACCGTATTTACAAAAATACGGTTATTCCTTTTAAATATCATCGAACAGCCCTCTGGGTGGAGGACCTACGCGACTTGTACTCGTAGAGAATGCCCTCGTGTTACTCGGCTCGAATGAATCAATATCACCTTGATTTTCCATATCGCACCGATTTGCACCATAACTGTCTCCACCAAATGTCATACCGATGTAATATTCCGTAGGGTCGAAATCGTGTAACAGACCCGCCCTCGCGGATTCGACTGACTCGTCTCGTTTTAATGGCCGTACTGAAGAATTGTCAATGATAAGTTACTTATATAATCCATATACGGTATCATTTATTTTTCATACCGTATTTTTTATACATACCAGTATCTGTACTTTGTCGAGACGTCCTGTAACGCGTACCCACCGAAATATTAAATCTTTCCTGCATTTCGCGTCGTCTATACATAGAATCCTCCGCTCTTTGCCGTTTACGTCTCTCTACAACAAGAAAAAAATACGCTATTTTTTTCTCTTATCTCAATATTTATTTCTTCAACATTGTTAGATATTAACACAAAGTCAAATTGTAAAGACTATTTTAAACATATACATTGCGTTAAGAGTGCAATTAATAATATATAATTTATCAATACCTCTTTTTATAAGTTCTCTCCCTTCATCTACGAGATCTGTCGTAAATTCGTCATCGTCAAGGAATTGCTGAAAGCCTAGCATGGAAAGCAATCGACTGCCTATGCTAAAGTACGTAGCTAAGCAAAATGCTAAAATTGCCATTGGAAAGTATACATTAAATCCATCGGATATTATAGAAATAACGTCCATATGACCCATCACCTGACAAAAAAAAGAAACAATGAAGAAACAATAAAGATAGAAATCAATTTTAAAAAATTTACAGATAATTTAAATAATATTACTTGTGTATAATGCGTTTCCAGGATATGAGTTTTGATAATATGTGAATCCATGTGAATAAGTCCCAGGAAATTAAGACACATTGGCGGGGTTAAGCGACACAGCATCATACCACTGAATATAAGGCTGTACTCATTCGTTTGATGATGGGGTGCCAAATAATAAAGATTTAATACTCGTATCTTCAAGACGGTCGAATAGGCGCAATAGCAAAGATATGCAATGATTAATGTGGACAATACCTAATAATTGAGTAGAAACATAATGTAAATAAAAATATATACTGTGTGAAATAATAAAACGCAAATCTTTACCTCTATAGTAAAGTAATCATAATTTCTCTTTGCTAAATTCAGAAATTGAGCGAATAAAGATAACACAGGAGACTTGTTAAAGAATGTTACTTCTGACCATACCACAGCCACTGATAAACAGCCGGCGCAAATAGCGGCTGCTTTTAAAACGTAATCCTTCACAATACATTTCCAATACCATTCTGAAATTTAAGTGACAAAATTACAGAATAGAAAACTACAAAAATTAAATTGTTAAACGAACATTATGTGATATTAACAGCAGAATAAAATGCAAAGCAAAACGAGATGTTACTTACCAACAACAGGATTATAAATAATACGAAACGGAAGCGAACGATGCGTAGAAAAAGCCTGTTTAAATCTTCTATCGTGACTCACTTGATTCTTCGCTACATCTTCCAAATAAAATATTTTATCCACTAAAATGCCCCATTGAGTTTCTATGCGTTGTAAAGTCTGCAACGCTTTTATAGTCTGAAACAGAAATAATAGCGATGTAGAAATGCAAACACGTCATTATATATACATATATACTGTTAATAAACCTGTCTATGCAGACGAATTAGAGCTTTTTCAGTAGGTGTATCCGTTGGAGTATCATCGGGCAATTGCCTTCTGTTCATTCTATCCTTCAATTCTGCGGGTATCTTTTGAAAGATCGTTTCCAGATTGCAATGGAATGGATGGCCAGGCCCAATGGATATCGTTGCTACTTGTAACGACTAAATGGCATTTGTTATTCATTATAGTTTTCAATTCTTATAAACGTAATATATTAACATCTTTATTTTGTACCTCAAGGATGTCGTCCACCGTCTCTTCCGCTTCGCACTTGTCTAAACTTAATTTCGCTACCTTGAAATAGCTATAGTTTAAAGTATATCCAGGCTTGCTGGCGTTCCATAATCCTCGAGGTACTTCTACAAGAGCATAACCGAGCAATAAGACCAATAAGAATAAACCCCATGTATTGGACGCAGATGATGCTATGGCTTTCAATTTTTGCCTATAAAATAGTACACCTAATTGTTTATTTCTATATGCATTAGTAACATTTTAAGACTTACATTTGACTTATATTATAACTTCACTTTATTTAACAGATAGAAGGACTCTTCCTGTACAAAATAAATAACAATAAATAAAGGGCAAAGTAAGAGTCAAACACATTTTTTAAATTGTCACACAATTAAAAAGAATAAATTACAAATAAAAAAAAGTAAAATTGAAAAAAATAATAAAAAACTCAGTTTAAATTCAAATATTACAAGTTTCGGATTGAGCCCTCTTCAGACATTAACTTATCACAAAAATACTGTACAAAATTAATTATCGAAAATGCTCGCATATTCCTTATAATAACAGCTCGGATGAGTCTTGATGTAGAACTCGACATTATTCACATACAATTAAACAGTCAAATGTGTTTCACATCTCTTGGAAAAAATTCTAATTGATAAAAAAGATAAAAAGAGACTTCTTATGAAAAAATAAACATAATCAAATTAACATACTGAAATTCTAACAAGTAATTAAAACTCACTAAAAATCATATGTAAATTATTCAAACAAGTGTGTCCATATAAGTATGAAAACTCATTAGAATGTACAAAGTTTAGTGGAACGCAGATGTGAACGCAAAACGGATATTCACTTTAATATAACTCACCCATCGAGATCTAAGCCAGGCTTTAGCGCAATATAGATCAAGAGTATACCACATATGAACAAATAACTACCATAATATATAGCGTTATCTATTAAAGCGGATTTTAACTTCCCGCGTATGGTAAAATCTCCTGCTTTTATGTAAGACTGCATCAACGGGAGTATCAACCATGTCAGGCATTGTGATGTCCAATAAACTATCCTCCATAAATTTGGAAATACATTCTCTGGCACATTAGGCCAAGGCTCTTTACACATGATAAATGGTGCAGAAGTTGTGTTATTGGGATCTTTAGTGCTGTTGTGTATATTCTGTTCTACGCATTGTCTAAATACGGTCTGTAAACAAAAATATTCTTTTATTTATTTTACTCTTCTATAAAGTAAAACAGAAAAATATATAATCAAAAATTAGTACTTTTCATTTAGTAAAAATCGACACAAACAAAATCAACATTATTCTTCCCGAGTATTCATGTATAAAGGCAGAACAATACCTACCTATGTCAAATTGAATCTAAATGAAAAATACCTAATAATTAGAACAAGATCATGTG